CTTCCTTCCTTGAAACAGGGTCTTGCTCTGTAATTCAGGCTGGCCTTAAACTTACTATGTAGCCCAGGCTGGCCTCAAACTCATGGCAATCTTTCTGCCTCAACCTCCTGAGTACTGGGATAACAGGCATGTGCCACCACACCCAGCTACAGGCCCAAACTTTACTGGAGCTTTCTTTCTGATGAAACTCAAAAATTTTAAAATCATACAGCTGTGCTATTTGCTCTTGATTCTCAATGTAGAGCTAGTTAAAAACCCCCAGTAGTATCCATGCCACAGCCTAAATGCTGGGCTGCCTTGAAATTTCCTCCTCTAAATTACTCTGCTTCCCTTAATCATACTCTTCCTCAAAATCTCAGGACATGAGTAAAATATAGACAAATTACCTGCCAGAACATGACATACATGGTCTTGAGTCTGACAGCCATGGAGTTCTTGTTCCCAACTGAAACTTTCTGAGCCTGGTCTTTTGTTGTTGTTGTTGTTTTGTTTTAGTTTCTTTTTCTGGTACCAGGAATTGAACTCCTGGTACAGGAGTTCACCCTTCTTGCTTGTGAAACTTTTGCCAGGCAGGTGCTGTGTCACTGAGCTAAGTCCCCAGCACCTTGAGCCTGGTCTTTACCTTGTGCTCTTATCAGCATTGTGGTCCTCTGAGGTCCAACCAGAATATCCCACCAAGGTTGGCTCAGAGCATTCTCAGGTTTCTCTAGTGGGCATCTCCAAGCCTTTCTAAATGCCTCCTGCATACTCTGGTTTCTCTTCAGGTTGTATAAATCTTTTGCCTTTTTAAAAAAGCCTCCTGCAAACCAGTTCCAAAGGCTTCTGAACTACACAGTCAGGAAGTGCCATAGCAACAACCAGCAAGCAGAGAGCAAAGGGAGGAGCCAGGGAGGGAGATAAACACTTCCAGGTCACACCCTCAGTGACCTGTCTTTCTCAGCCAGGTCCCACCTCCTAGCAGCAACCAGGTGTAATGCTCCCATAATCCAATCACCTTCCAAATACATGAGGCTTTAGGGACCATTATAGATGTAAACCAACACTCTCTCTTTCACTTGTGGGCACTGTGAAGTGAGTTGCCTGCTACGCCACATGCTCCCACCATAATGTGTTGTGCTGTAGACCCAGAGCCAAGTGACATGTACTGGAACTTTGGAACCGTGAGCCAAAATATATCTTTCCTCCTTTAAGTTGATTATCTCAAATATCTGGCACGGAGACAGAAAGCTGACTAACACAGGGGTTAAATTCAGGTTCTGCAAAACCTGAGCACCCTGAGTCTGTCGTTCATAGGAGCTGGGTGAGACCCATATATTTTGCCTAGTTCTGGGTTCCCATTCCTTTGCAGGGATATTTCCGCAAGGGATGATGGTGACTGCGGGCACTTTCCACAGCACACTCTAACACGTTGTCATCTCTTCTTCTGTAGCCCTCCCTCTGTTCTCTTAGAACCTATTTATTGCCTTTTTGACATGAAAAATGTTCTCTAGCGCGTCTACTGGTTAATTAATTAAAATGGAAAAAATCCTGATTTTCAAATCTGGACTGATTAATTACATAAGCATTAGTACCTCTGCACATTTCACACGGCACGTCTTCAATTTAAACTTTTTCCAGCACATTATTTTCTGCTGATGTGTGTGTATTTTCTGCCTAGATGAGGCTGATTTCTCTTTCACCCCCGTCCATTTCATGGCAAATGGCCCCAAATGGTGTTTATCCTGCTCACTTGGATCCTGCATCAATTAAGCAGACCTGGCTGAGCTCCCTGCCCAGCTTGCATAGCTGTCTGGTGTGTGGTCTCAGAATCTTTGGGCTGCCCCGGTATCCTCTCTTCTCCCTATCCTTAGGGGCTGTTGCTACAGGCCGAGGCCTGGGCACTTTTCACCAGACCGGAGTAAAGCCCTCACACTGGAGCAAGGTGTGTGGAGCCCGTACTTTACGGATTTATAAAAGCTTATTGTTTGGCTCAGGCATGGGGTTTTCAGCTGCAGGTTCACTGCGTTTTTTAGTTGTTTCTAACCTTTTCGCTGCCTCTCTTGCTCCCCTACTTTCCAGAGCTGGGCCTGTGCCCTGTAGAAGCCCCCTCTGCTCCCTTCACCTGCGCTCCTCAGCTTGACCTTTGCCCATGCAAGGGCTGAGACCAGGACTTTGGAGCCCGCTGTGCTGGAGGCGTGGGGGCTTAGCCCTCCGTAGGCAGCAGGAGGGCCCTGGGTCCTTTCCCTGCTGCCCCCTGTGGGCAGAAGCCTCTTTGTCCTCACGAGCTTGCCTAGATTCAGGGGTGGCACTCAGAGCTGCTGACGTGAGCCGGTGGCCAAACAACCTAAATTTCTCTGAGGAACAAGCGTCCGTTTCACAAGCAAGAAGGGTGAAATGCAGTGAGTGGAGTGGAATGGTGATCCGAAGCAAGGCGGCAATGTCCGACCTGTCACAAGCCACAGAAGAATGTGTGTATGCTTCCAGCTGTGGAAGTCATCACACAATCCTAGAAGCCACAGCAGTGAAGCTCTGCCCGGCTAGAGGATGGAGGTGTTAACGGGCACACGCTGTGACTGATACTTCCCTTTTCCCAGAGCATAAAATGATACTTTTCTCACTGAAATTGTGAGAAAGAGACACTATTATGGTTCAACATTTAGACAGGAATTAAAGTACTTTTTCAGTACAAATTGAAACAATTTTCTTATGCCTGTGACCTGAATTCATTAGCAAATGAGTTCGATTTCCCTCTTTCAGGACTTGGACGAACAGGAAGGATGCTCGCAGGAGAAAGGCCTGCTTTTTCCTTCCCAGCTTAGGCCACTAAACCTTGTGTTCCTTACCCTGGTCATTAGCAGTATATAATTATCTCAGTTAAAATGAAATAACAGTAAACATTAAGCTCTTCGGTGGCATACACGTGTGGGTAGTGGCTATCACAGTATTGGCTAGCACAAACCTAACTATTATCATTGTCACAGACTACCTTGTGGGACCTTTATCACCGCTACCTTTATGATGGACATTAGCTGTGCATTTTGTGGTCGTATTTCTTGAGCAGCATTTTTGTACCCTCTGAGGAATTTAAGTAACGGACCCCACCACAAATTCTCTAACTACCTGGCTCCGTAAAAGTATTTCTTCTCCACCTGACCCTTGTGAGCAATTAAAAGTTCTCTATGATTTCCTAAATCAGAGGTCGGCAAGCCTGGGAGAGGGCATATGGGTCCAACAGTGGCAGATGAGCATCTGGGTCTCCCTCTGCCAACCAGCGCCCTGTTGCAGGCGGCTGGTGCGGTACCCCACATCCTCTCAGCCCAGCTCCACTCGTTTTCCCTGGGGCGCATCTCACTGGCACTTCGGTGTCCAAATGACTAACGCTTGGCCGGAGCAGCTTGTAGAGGCCCGGTCCACGCAGGCGCAGTCGCAGAGCTCCCTCTGTGCCTGTGAGTTGCGGCAGCCCTCCTGTGTCTGTCAGCTCGGGTTACACGTGGCTTCATCGAGGGAATTTAACGGAAAGAGATTCCTCTGCTACGGTATTTGTAATCACTATAAAAATAGTTTTTGTCCTTTTTGCTTTTCTTTTAAAAAAATTCTGAAGCACAAAAATCCTCACCAAGGGTGTTGTTCTTGCACCATTTCACTTAGAATCCTACCGGGGTGCTCACCCTGACGCTAGCAGGGTACATGGCACTTTTACAACCTCCGGGGAATTAAGTGCCAGTTGACTGACAGCATTACTGCTCTCCGGGAAGAGTGTGGCCGTGGCTCCGGTTTCTCTGATTGGATCATCAGCTCCTGGCCTGCAGGTGTCTGGGACAGATAGCCCAGGGGCAGTCCCGGCTCCTGAAGGATGTAGGCTTGGAGGCCCGGCTTACACTGCTCCAGTGAAGACTTTGCCCTGGACCTTGCCTCTTGTCTGCCCAGCTTTCACACCAAAAGGCACAGCACTTCTTGGGGAACCTGGTAAGGCTCTCCTGGGGAGGCCACGGCGCGCAGCAGGCCTCCCAGGTCTCCAGCACCAGCTCCCGTCTTGCTGGGGAGAATCGCTGTCTGCGTGTTTGGAGCCCTGAGATCTGCAACTCCGTCCTGTGTTAGTTAATGCAGCCTCATTAGCCTACTCAAAAGCAATAAAGCTGTCCTCCACTGTCTGAGAAAATCCTTTGCAATTAGAGCAGGCAGAGGAGAAATGATCCTGGAACCCAGTTACTGGAACATTTTTTAAAAGCCAAGCTCATTTTCTTGAGAGAAAATAGAATGCAACCCCTTCCCTTTTTAAAGCACCTTACAGACTGTAACTCACTATTATTTGTCTATATGTTTTCCTGAGAAACTATCTTGTAGATAACAATATGTGAAACAATAACCATTGATAATTTCCTACCACTTTGTCTGTAATTTGGTAAGCCCCGCTATTATTATGTTATCCTTCTTTTACTCTTTAAAATAAAAAAGAAAGAAGAACAACCTGAATAAAAAATAAAATAAAGCACCTTACAACATTCTGTTCTGCCTCTGGCTACAGGCTGGGAGCCAAAACCAGGGGACACTGCAGAGCCATGTCCCAGAGAACAAGGCTGGGGTGTGTGCCAGGCAGGATAATGTGGAGAAGCCAAAAACGGCAGAAGAGAAAACGATGCAGTGAGATGGACACAGAGGTGGACACTGTGGAGCTCCACACACAACCCCTTCTGGGCCCGGGGGAGGGAGCGGCTGTGACAGGTCAGTGAGTGCTTGCCACGCCTTAGGCACACACGTAAACACACTCAATCCCCCCTCCAAGTGGACAGTGTTCCCATTTTGTAGATAAAGCAACTGAGGTTCAGCAGAGAGTCTGGTGACAGGGACAGGAAGCACCTATTAAATGCCGCTGGTAATCGGCCTCGTGAGAGCTTTCAGTTCACAGGGCTGACATGGTCCTCACTGCACGAGGACGGGAAAAGACGTCATTTTTGACTCAGCGGCAGTTATCACGAGCTTTCTAAACAATACACAACGTTCAAATGCAATTGTTATCCGTGTTATTCATTACTAAATGTTGTATTTTGACAATAAGTGAGATTCGCGTAGAGAGGCACTTAGTGTATCCTATTCTTCAAATCTGTGATTTAAGGTTTTTGCGATGCTCGATGCTTCTTTGTAGTGGGGGTGGGAGAGCCGAGGAGGGGAAGGAAGGAGGGTGTCAGCAGGCAAACACGGAGAGGATTCTTCATAAAAGAAGAAAACACGTCTAGAAGTGATTGCTCCATAAACAAAACATGAGTGCACACAGCAATTTCATGTTCTTGTTCCACCCACTCGGTTGTTCTTAATGATTCAGGAACAGAACTGCCTGGGCAGATTTACTGGCTCCGCATTCCTGACATCTGTGCCGAAACAGGCCTGTGTGTTCACAGAGCATTTCCTCCTGCGCAGGGAAGAGAACACAAACACCTTGGGTTAATTTTTACCTTTCCCGGGATTTACATGGAAAAAGGTGCAGTTATTCCCCAGTATACATCTCATGGCTGTTAGGATGTAAGAGTAGTGCCAAGCAGGAGAACAGGGTATCCTGAAAGTTTGAGTGTTTTTTGAGAGGGTCTCATTGTGCAGTTCAAGCTGGCCTTGAGCTCATTTTGTAGCCCAGGCTGGCCTCGAACTCACAACGATCCTCCTGCCTCAGCCTCCTGTGTGCTGGGATTACGGGCATGTGCCACCACGCCTGGTGAAAGTTTGAGTGTTAAATGAGATGTGAGGTCACACAATCCAACACCAATACTCATGTCTTCCTTCAACTCCTTTCATTATTAGAAAGCCAAGCTTCCCTCGGGTGCAGTGGTGTGCACCTATATTTCCAGCTACTCTGGTGGCTGAGGCGGTAGAATTGTGAGTTCAAAGGCAGCCTGGGTAATTTAGTAAAGTGCTGTCTCAAATGTAATGGAAAGGACTGAAGGTGAGGCTCAGTGGTAGAGCACTTGCTTAGCATGTCTGAGGCTCTGGGTCCAATCCCCATTGCTGCAAAACAAAAACAAAAAACCCAAATTTAGTGTACGTCTTTGACTGGAAATGTTTGGAATTAAGCTCCAGAAAACTGCTCTTCAAAGTACCAATGGATGGGCAGTGCCGGGCATAGCCGTGTTACGAGCAGGGTTTGGCTGGGGCTCCAGGGCAAGTGTGCTTTCCCTGACTGGGACTATCCAGGTTTCCCAGAGGTAGTGATGAGAATGCCAAACTTCCTCCAACCCTCTTTCTGTCAAGGAGGAGATTTGTGTTCCAGTAGACACTGTGAAGATTTATAACTTCTTCCTTGCTTGCTGGCCTTCGCTTTTGTTTCCTGGACTGTAGGCCTAGCTACTTCTCAGGTTGCTGACCCGGACCCTGCAACCCTCAGTTCCCAGACCCTCCTTCCTTATGTCAGCCATTTTGGAATCACCCAATAGGATGCTGGGAGCTTTCCTACTTGATGGGATGCTCCTGTGCTTTAGAACTTTCCCTTCACCTCTGAGACTCAGAGGAAGTCCAAGGTGACTGAGCTGACCTGTAAGAAGAGCTGGGACAAGACCAGGTTGGTCAGGCACGGTCTGGGTACCCAACACGTTCCTTAGATGGTGACCTTAAGCCCATGACTTTATCTTCACTGTTTAAGAATCTGAGGAGAAAGGGGAGGCAAGTAAAATCATGGATTTGGTATTTATTTATTGATTGATTGATTGATTGGACTTGGTATTTTAAAAATGACCTAATTTTAACTATAATGTCAGCGCTAAAAGCTTGGCTCCTATTTTGGTGGGATACCCAGCTCTTTGGCCTTCAAGTTCAACCATAGATTTGCTAGTTCATGTTGGGATCCATCAGCAGCTCTGGTCTGGTTGTCTCGTGGCCTTAACAAGTATCCATCCACCATCTTGGGGAAGAGAGAGAGGAAAGGGAAGAGCCAAAGGAGCTGAAGAAATGGAGATTTTAGCTTACAATTTTTATTATAACCAGCCAACTTCATGTAAACACAAACCCCAGCAGGCTGGAAATCCAAATGCTAAGTTAATTTTTGAGAAAAATTAATTTTTAGCCTCTAATATCAGTGATTATAGTTTTTTTGTTTTATTATTTTTACACAAAATTATTTTTTTATATTCTTTCCCACAGTTTGCATATTTTCCTTATGCTTTTCTTTTTTTCTTTTTCTTTTTTTTTGTTTTTTTCTGGTACCAGGAATTGAACTCATGACCTTGCATTTGCCAAGCAGGGGCTGTGCCGCTAAGCTAAATCCCCAGCCTCTCTTTTTTTCTTTTTGAGACAGGGTCTCACTATGCAGTTCAGGCTGGCTTTGAACTCACTATGTAACCCAGGCTGGCCTCAAACTTGCAGTTATCCACCTGCCTCAGCCTCCTGAGTTCTGGGATTAGAAACATGTGCCACCATGCTTGGTTTCCTTATGCTTTTCTAATTTAATCCTTGCAAGCATCCTGTTAAGTTGGAATTTTCATTCTGTGGTTCAGAGAGGGGATAAGGAGCTAGCTAGCCTGTGGTCGCAATCTGGTAGATTTGGAATGCACTGGATACTGACTTTCAGTGATTACAGAGCACTCCATGTTTTCATATTGGATAGGGCTGGATAGATTTTTCTAAAGAGAAAAATGTCAGGTACCTCAAAATAAGATGGCCCATCAACGTCCATCTTCTGAGACCCAGATGTATTTTTAGTGGTGCTGGGGATGATACCCAAGGCCTTCACATTAAGCTACATCTCAGCCCAGTTAAAAATTAAAAAAAAAAAAAAATTTACAGACAAAGTCTTACTAAATCACTACGTTGTCCAGGCTGGGCTCAAACTTGCAATCAGTCCTCTTCCCTCAGCCTCCTCGACTGCTGGGAGTAAAGGCATGTACCACCACATCTGGCAGAAACATTTTAAAAATTCTAATTTTTAAAAGCTGGGTGTGGTGGTACACACCTGTAATCCCAGCACTCGGGAGGCTGAGGCAGGAGGATCATTGAGTTCGAGGCCAGCCTGGGTGACAAAGTGAACTCAAGGTCAGCCTGAACCGCATAGTGAGACTCTATCTCAAAAAGACAAAAAAAAAAAAAAAAAAATTCTAAATTTTTTAGCCAGGTATGAAGGGAGGCCGAGGCAGGAGGATTTAAAAAGGCACACTTGCTCGCTGTAAAATCTTTCAGCACTGCAGACATAAGAGCCAACCCTCCCTTACATGAGGAAAGGCGCAGAAAAACGTGATATGTTCTGCATTTTTTTAGATGACGATAATGTAAAGTAGCAGTAGCCTGAATCTTGTTCTGGATCTTGACTTTTTTTCTATGCATAATTAAGTGTATTTAAGATGATTTAAAATAAATTGTGAGTCATACCTCTGCCTTTCTGCACCAGTGAAAAGAAATGTGATGTGTCAAAATTGAGTTAAATCCCTAATCTCTCTGGATGTGCTTTTGACTTGCACACCACGAAAAGCGGGCAGGCAAGAGTGAGGCGGTTTCACACTCTGTGTTGACATTCAACAGCAAGAAGGTCGGAGCAGGGAGCTGGTGTCAATATGTGCATCCCGAACCGCAATGAAGCTGTCCCAGCAACTGCAGATCCAGCTGCCCTTTCCCCTACTGGGGGTGAAAATGCCCCGGTCAGACCCTCCACTCTTTTGCTATGAAAGTACTGTGCTTTAACGAGGCTCTCATTGTTTTTCAATATCAATAGAATCCTAGATTTCAGGTTTCAAGGCAAAATTTCCAGGACAGATAGGGCCTCCTCTGACAAAAGGATGACAGCTGAGATTTCTGCCACGTGAAAATTACCGAATAATTGCACAGCAGGTTGTCATCGTTCCAAGTGTCATGAAGTGAAGTTAGTTCTCCAGTTTGCTTTCCAGTGTTTTATGGGAGATTGCTTTTCTTAGAGGTACCGCCGCTAGGCGTCTTAACAGTAGGCAAAATGTACTCCTCTACCTCCTTTTTGTGCCGGAGAGGGGAGGCACGAGCCACAACGGAAGAGGTACAGGTCACTGTGACAATGCACTGGGCAGACCCCGTTTTTTTCCACCTGAGCATAAGCAAAAGCTGCACGCACGCATATCCTTCCCCAGGTTAAGAAGGTTCTTTAGTTTGCAGATTGGGCAGCAAAGAAGGGACACGGAGGAAAAGCAGAGTTTCTTGGGGGCCTCCATCCCGGAGGTCCCCCCTTCATGGGAAACACCTCTGAAACAAGGGCTTGCCTGCTCCAGACAGGTGACCCCAAGGCCGGGTGACAGATGGGGCCTCCTGAACACTGGGGGAGGCAGAGAGAGTCGGAAAGAGGGGCCCCCAATCAGCTCCACACCTACAGGCCCTGCACGTTTGAACTCTGCTGGACCCAATTTTTAAAAAGTCAATTCTGGGAGAATGAGAGAATTTTAGAAAAATTAAGAATTATTTCATTGGCAGTTCCTATATATATTCAGTTAAACCTGATTTAAATTTTCTCTTCGCTCCCCACCCCTTCATTCCCCACGCGCGCGAGCTTTCCCAGAGCAGCCTGCCAGGGGCCATTTGCACTCGGGCCCTTCTTGCGCAGGGCTCTGCCTCCCGGCTCTCCGTCCTGGCTGGCGTCTGCCCTCACTCCACGCGCTCGGCACGGGCAAGCCGCTCTGTTCTTCGGTTCTGGTCACTTCCCCTCAGAGCAGGATCTGGGGAACAACCCGAAGGGCTCACGGTGAAGCAGGAAGAGCGCGTCTCTGAGGTTGGGGGGATGTGCGAGGACGGGTGGGAATAGGGTGCCTCGGTGCTGTCAGTGTGCTGCATTTTATTTGGGAAACGAGACAAAATCTTCCCATGATCAGCCACTCCATGTGACATCCCAACCCACACTCTGCTCCTGACATTTTATCTCCCACTGAACAGCCCGGCTGTTGTAACATTCTCGGGATTCTTAATTTATGTCTTGCAGGATCTAAAATCAGATGGCAGGGGCTTTAAGAAAACAAGCAGTGTTGACAGACACCTTTATATTTCAAGAAGCTGCTACACCTTAGTGCTACTGAAAGTTGGGGAACATTTTCTCCTTCATGTTCCAAAATATGTGCAGAAGACAGTGGGATGGAGATAACTGATTTAAGTCATTTAATTTCCCTTTTCTTTCTAAACTCTCAAGACTTTTCCTTCCCATCAGTGTTTGCTAGCAAGCTTATTTCTTTTTCTTAACATGAAGGATTGCAGCATTTAATTAATTTAAATTAGAGTAGCCAAGGAGAACCTACCGTAACTAGTTTTTTTTTCCAGTACTGGGGATTGAACCCAGAGCCTTGTGCATGCAAAGCAAGCGCTCTACACTGAGCTACATCTACAGCATTTTTTTTGTACTGGAAATTGAACTCAGGACCTTGCACTTGCCAGGCAGGTGCTTGTGCTACTGAGCTATATCCCTGGCCCCATTTTTTTCTTTTTTTGAGGCAGAGTCTTGCTGTAAATCTAGGCTGGCCTCAATCCTCCTGCCTCAGCCTTCAGAGTGCTGGGATTGAGGCATGTGCCACCATACTTTATCTACAGCTCTTTTATTTTTTTTTATTTTCTGGAAGAGTCTCACTAAGTTGCCCAGGCTGGCCTCAAATTTGTGATTCTTCTGTCTCAGCCTCTTGAGTAGCTGGGATCACAGGCACTATGTCTGACTTTATTTCAAGGCAGGGTCTTGCTAAAGTGCGAACTTGCCTAGGCTGCAGTTGAAGTTGCAATCCTCCTGCCTCAGCCTTCTGGAGTGCTGGGATTATAGGCCTGCACTACCATGCCCAGGTATATGTTTTATTTTTGCTTTTCATTATAGCACAGCTTTGTAAAAGCAGCAAATTTGGATTGGCCTAGCATATGAATCTGTGGCAATCTCTGCTCTCCAGCATGTTAAGGTAGTGAATACTTGGGGGTTTGGGGTTAGATGTGCCAAAGTCAGGATGCTAGTGCACACCTTGGCTCTGCAGTCTCGGCCTTGATCCTCCTCTTAGGGTGGATTTGTACCTATTTATCTGTACTGCAGTGTTTGAGTTCTGCCGCTAACTGTTGACCAGGGCAAGTTGCTTCATTTCTCTGGGCCTCCAGCACCTACTGTTGAGGATATTAAATTAAATAAGTTTACGGAAAATTCTCTCTCTAGGTTAGTATCATCTGTCAGCCTGCCATATGCTTTCACATTTTTTTTTTTTTTTTTTTTTAGTACCGGGAACCGAACTCATGACCTTGCACTTGCCAGGCAGGCGCTTTTGCCGCTGAGCTAAATCCCCAGCCATATGCTTTCATAAAGGCAGTATAATGCCACTTTCAGGACTTGTGTAAACCTCTGTATGGATGGTACAGCCAAGAAAAGCCCTGCTCGATCCCTGAAGAGCAGAAACTAGTTTACTCCGTTAAGATAGTGCCTTGCAGACAGTGGAGGCTTAAAAACCTCTTCCTTGAATTGAATTCTGTCAGCACTGAAAGCGATAGTACCAGATCTTTCAGGCTTCAGGTCCAAGCTTCACAAATCACCTCCCCTCCTACCCATTTATCTCAAAAAGCAGAGGCCAGGAAAAGGATTTGTAAACAATTCCCACAAAACTCAGGTGAGAATAAAAACCGGTTCTGAGAAACCTACAATTTTACATCCTGGTGCCTGAGGTCGGGTCCTATGTGCACGTCGTCTGCACGAAGTTCAGGAAGCTGTTTTTATGTTACTGGGCAGAAACCCGTAACGGCCCCTCGGTAAGTGCTTCCAATTTTCTTACCTGCCCCCCACTTGTAGGTTGCCAGGGGAAGCCTGGCTGACGAGTCCAAATGGACAGACTAAGAGTGGGGCGCCTCATGAGGTGATAGATGGAGAGAAAAAAGTAAAACTAGGTTAAAGCCAACGACCAGGTGACAGAGCCGCTCCACCAGCCCGCCCCCGCCCCGCC